GTAGGTAGGTTTCCATGGTTAAAAAACATATTCTGCTGTGTTTTTTTCAGCATGTAAACTTGCGTTAATTTTTCCGGGTTGCCTATCTACCTGTAGGGAGGAGTTGACTTGCATTTAGTCATGAATCGTCGGAAATTCAAATCTATTCTGCATGAAATATCGCCAAAATATTCGCAATTGTTTTATAATTGGTAACTTTCCAAACAATGCTCAGCTTCTTCGAAACTATTCAGTTTAAGCATGCTATTGATATATACTTGCAACACGTTAGTTCCAGCCTATTGTTCACAATTTTACAATCCGACAATTCAAGTGTCTTACATTCGTTCATGCTTCCTCGTTGCATAACACCAAAATGATGGACACATCTCATCCAGTTGATGTTCAAGTACGCACACGCACAATATGTTTGTAGACTTAAACTTCCACATCCGTTTATATTGACACGTGATTGTAGAGTTTCGAATACACACTGTTCTCAAAGTATTCTCTCGGTGATCAGTTGTATGTTTCACGATGTGAGATGTCACTGTCTCAAGACAGAACACTGATTCATGCGTGCATTCGGATTCTCAAGAGATCTAGCCGATACATCTGAACAAATGCAGTCATTCGAAAGTGTAGTTGACCGGTCGAACAATTTGAGTAGTTTCAAACCAGTTACATCCGTCGCCATCCTGTTAACGTAGATTCTAGTGTTTACAGTATTCCAAAATCTGTTACTACTGAACATTTCATATGAAACGAAACGCGCGTTTCACCGTTGTCCGATGTAACAGGTCGTTTGACTAAGCAAATACCAGACAAACGTTTTGAATCATTGAGATTGGTAAGCGTTTCTGCCAATATTTTTATTTAAATTCTTCGAGCTATTAGTGTTGTATTGTTTTAATCGGTCATTTCATAACGTCAATCAATCCATTTTTGCGAATTTCTTATTCCTATGTTTTCCAAGCTTGTCTTATATCCGCTAACGTCCTTTGTTGTTTTTCATGAGTATGTTTTAGGAACATGCTTACTACGCTTTTCACATACCCAGCTTATTTATGTCTTTATATAAATACCTAGTCATGCTTGATCTCTGTGAATCCTTTCATTTTCATCTTGCATTTCGCTTCGCTTTCTTTGCGCGTTTATCATTCTCATTTCAGCCTGAGTGAACAACTGTTTGGAATAAATTCTGTAATAAAATCATATTTGCCACCGCGATACCACCGTCATCCGAACGGGTTTCTTCTAATTATTGCATCTAGAAATAAAAGTTAAGACCTGTTTTAGCGCGTATTCCATCGTCTGCACCTAAGCAGTCGTATCATCGTGTCACCTAAGTGGTGAGACAATACATTTGAATTTATTGTCAGACGAGAGGAGTGGTAGTTGCTTTATCACCTCAGGCTGGTGGCTGTTTGCTATTTTGTCGTAAAAACCCTACTCTAATTCTTCTAAAATTTCGACTTTAACGTACATCAATCCATCTTCCTACTTCAACTTCTCTTCTATCCACTTGACACTCCACAGCTCCTTCTTCTTCATTGCTGTGCCCCTTCATTTGTGTGTTATATTCTTATATTCCCATAATTTACTTTAACTTAAGTGGTCAGTATGAATTTTATATTGACTTACCACTGTATTGAGTACTTCAACATGACAGGTTAATCGGTGCTTTGGTTATATATATACACATGCCACGCTTCTGCCCTTTTTCTGTCAATCGATTCTCCCTTTTCAGAACCTTACTCACGCTGGAAAATCCATGGCACCTCTAGAGAACATGCACACAATGTACATGCATGTCTGGATCACAGATTTAATAACCAATATCCGATATATCCAATATCTTTTTCAAGCGCTAGTATAAACCAAATGATTTATTTGCGCTCGATTCTTATTCTTTCGATACGGTTCCAGGTGTTCGATAGTGTCAAATGAATGGCGTCTAGCCATTTGACTGTCAAATTCTAGTGATGTGATAGCGGCAGCTATCACATTACCAGGCTGGACATCAGTTAGTTGTGATGTGCAGAATGATAGTGAGAAACTTCTAATGCCAATGGGAAGAATATTTCAGAACTAAGTAAATAAATGGGTAGTTTATGTCATTACCTGTTAATAAAGATTGTGTGAGAGGACCGAAGTGTGAGGAAGGGAGAGGAAATATGGATAATAGGCGAGATTGTCTGAGTAAGTGATCTGAGGAGATGTTAGTGTCAACAAACAGCAGGTCTCAAGATATGCATCATGAGAGGCAGATGATAGTCCGTATGTGAGTACGTTATTATCAAGTCTCTGCTTAAAGCAGTCCACTGAGGTGGCTGTGGTCACCTCGGCTGGGAGATCATTATAAGTGGCGACGACTCGCAATGAGAAAAATTATGCAAGAACCTGAGTATCCGCTCGTTGATGTGCAATCTTTCAATGGCTGACTCAAAGGGAGTGGTGCTGATGCATCGGTGGAATGCTCACGTTTGGATGGTTGTATCAAGTGCTGTCCAATGGACCTCCCCCAACAAATTCACTATTGACCTCAGAAAATCGACCATGAAACATTCTGTGCACCTTCCCCATTTGTAATCTACAATCGAAAATGTGGCTGTTTCATACTGTTTCTGTCAGTGAAATGGTGTATATGTGTAGAATCTTTTTTGAATGTTTTGTTTTTTGGAAAATCCCTGCATGTATATATATTTGTGTTATGACATGACAGACTCTTTCTGTTGACATTTTGGTATTTTATTTGATTCCAATTTGAGATTTTATCATTGTATATTGTTATTATATCTATATTTTGTACTTAAATTGAAGTTTTTATTTTTGCTTCTGAACTGTACATATGTTGTTTAAAATTGATATAATATGGCTACAGCCACATTTTTTTGGATTTGATATCGTGCGGTATAGGAGTTCACCTAGTCTCCGGAACCTCGATACTCATTCAGAGTAATTTTGAATTGGAAGGCGTAAAATTTGTTAGGTACCGTTTGTATTTCTATTTATTCTCTATTAATAGACCATTTTCTCCTAGAATTATTGTGTTTTGATATTCTAAATCGGAGAGTGCGTCCAACATACGTCTATTGGAATCGAATTGAACTGCTACGGTAGAAAATCCAATTACAGTCTAACAAATTTGTAAAACAAGCCTACTACAGTCTGATTATTAAGAAGAATAAAGAAACATTTGGAATTTTATTCGTTTATAATATTAAACTTTTTGGAAGAAGAACCTAGGATTGCTTATCGTGTTTTTTGTGATCGAACTGTATTTTGGAAAACGATTTACTGATTTTGGATATTTCTTATTGAGAACTTACCTGTGGAATTCCTATATTTTGTATTTGTCATTTATATTCCGTTGAACTTCACTTAAAAATGAGCAACCGCAAGAAAACAAACACAAAGAGGGTGGAAGAGCTTGAAGAACCCCGAAATGCTAGGCATGTTGTTGATGATTCTTTTTTAATGGGTTCCCACTTTATTCGTGATGTTTTTTATGTTTGATACTTATTATTGTATGTCACCCTTGGAAGGCATTAAGTAACAAAGTTTAAGAGAGAGTTCTAAGGTACCAGAGAAGGATCAGATGCTTAGGACGCCGATA